CAGGGGTATCCACGGTAATCCTGTTAAGAGGAAACTCACACGCTGGCTCCAAATACCAGCCGCAGAGAAGAAGATTATTCTTCTTGTTAAAATGGCACGGCGCACCTTAGAAGCATGTGAGTGTTGGGGGGGGGGAGAGTGTGTGCGTGTGTGTGTATGTGGGTCCCAGGGGAAGTCGCCGCGTAATCAAAGAGGGTGATTACTTGGGAGCAGTCAGGTGTGTGTATGCGTGTGTGTGTGTGTGTGTGTACACGTCTGAGGAGAGCAACACACTGTAATCACAGGAGACTGTTACTCGGTTGCAGTCAGGTGTGCACGTTATGTGGTTGTAGCGATAAGAACATATGCAATAAGATAAAGTGACTGCTGTGCTGATAGGTCGGGCAGCGACGGCGCTCCACATAAACACCACCACTATCTGCATCAGCACTTTGTAGTCCGGAGTGTACTTCTGTTTGCAGAAGCAAACTTTTACCGCAACACACACGTCCACGCTCTCGTTTGGATTTGAAGGAAACCGATACCCTCACACTAGACAATAACATGTGGAGTTGGACCTTAAAGGGGTACGTTTATGTGTTTTCCAGGCACATAATGCCATTTTATAGCACAATCAAGTAACTGTTACTTTAAGTTGTTAGAAAATGCTGTACATACCAAATATGACTTGATAATTTAATTCCTTAAAATTGGGCCTCTGTCTCTTTAAGAAGCTCCTGGTCTTTCTGAAACTCCACCTTCAGGAAATCATCACAACATGGCTCCTCTATTAAGACTTTAACAGCATTTTACCTGCTGAGAAGTAGCTCCTATAATGAGCTCAGCAGATGCACAGTTCCACCAGGTGTTTGCTAATTGCTGCTGGCTAGTCTGAAGGAGCTGAGTGGGAGAATTGTGGGGGATTCTCCCACTCAGCTCTGTGAGGCAGAAGCTCGGAAGCTTAGAAAATTTTGAGGTGATCAAACCAACAACGAAGGAGGAATTAGACGGTCTGTGTTTAGATTTTCCAACCAAACTGTCTCAACAAACTATTTCTTTCCAGCTCCAGTTGTTATTCATACTCTTTTACAGATTGGTATTTGGGGGAAAAGAAAAGTTCTTCTATTCCATCATTCAAACTTTTGTGGTTTTCACTTGATTTAAGACTTGTTTGCCTCATTCTAACAGGTTTTAACATTTAAGTAAAGGTTTCTGTTCAGACACCCACTACAGCCGGAGTAGTTCACTTTTCTGGAAATTGATTCGTTTGCTTTTTAAGTGCCAGACGGCACTGTCAATTCTTCTTCAGATTTCATCAAATCCCATAGTGACTTAGCTTTTAGCAGCGACTAATGGAATCAATAGCCCAAAGTTCAAGATGTGAAACTGCAAAGATGATAAACAGTCGTTTTTCTCCTCAGAGTGAGGCACATATTTCCATCATGTTGTCCATCACAGAATGTCGCTCTCTTTTAATTCGTGTTCAGCTGACTGAAATAATTGGAGAATTGGCTGGAAAATTGGCGCTGTCAACTGAAATAGTCCGCTGTTAAATATTCAGAAATAAAGAAGAATAAAAAAGGAACCCTGACAAGTTGCTGTTATTCCAGTTTTTCTATTTCTGTTGTAGTCAGAAAAGTGCCGTGCCAGCATGCTTCCCATTTATTAATGTGACAACCTTGTACTGTGTGCTTCACTCCACAAAATGAAACATTTATTGGCACCCCTGGTAAAAGGTGTAAGAAGCCTGGAAATGAGTTCAGCTTTCATTGCAACAGTATAAGCTCAGACTGAAAAATGTTGAAAAATCCAAACTTTAAACTTTTTTTTCCCAGTGGTGATAAAGCACTCATTTAAAAAAATGTTTCTAACATTACAGGCGCCAGCTAATTTTCTTTAAAAGAATTTTTTTGAAACTTTTTTTTACTAATTGATTAATTTCTGGTAAGTTTTAATTATGGACTTGGGGGCAATTTTCTGCACCTGAGTGAAGTACCACCTCCATCCCCCACCTTTTTCAAACCAGACAAAATTGGTGTCAAACATTTGTGTTGGTTTGTGCAACAATTTTTTTTTGTTTGTGCTGCTTTGGCTTTGAAGATATTAATGAAAGTTTAAAGGTAATTTTGGTTTAGCAAAAGTGGGGGTGCTGGTTGACCTTTCATGACCTCTGGAAACATTTCTTAATATCTTTAAAATGATAGCAGGACAGACAAATAATTTTGCTACACAAATGTTTAACACCAATTTTGTCTGATTTGGGGAGGGAGGGAGGGCTTCACTCAGATATTTCTTGCTGGTTTTATGTTCTGCCTCTTGTGACTCAGTCCACAGGAAGGTGTGGGGTTTGAACTGGGAACCTTGGGGTCTCTGGCTCTCCTCCTTCACCACTGAAGCAGCTGCTGCTCAGCTGCAACTGCTGTCATGCTGATTAAATATTTTATATTGCTTATTGAGAAAACGTTTCAGTGCCATTTTTAATTCATAAAGTACTTTTTTTCCATAAGATAATATACTCATTTTCAATTTTGTGATTTCTGTCTCATTTAATTTTTAAACCAAGCCTCATGATAAACATATTTAGAATAATTTTAATCTGTATTACACCAAAAGGGTGTTAATACAGATCGCTACAGGAGATCCTGCCCACCCACAGCTAGAACCTTGTAGGATTTAGGGAGGCCAATTAACCTGACAGTCATGTTTTTGGACTGTGGGAGGAAGCTGGAGTACCCAGAGAGAACCCACCACCCACAGGGAGAACATGCTAACTGGGAATGAACAGAGACTTTGCACATTTATTGTACTGGTAAGAAACTGGGAGACAAAAAAAAAAAAAAAAAAATAAAATGTCATCCACTTTTAAAACCCAGCTGCTCTGCTTTTATGTTTCATGCCTTAGTTCATGAACATTATTTAAAATCTGATCATCTTGTTCTGGCATTTATTCACATCAAGCAGACAGAAAACGGGGAGCAAGAGAAGAGAGCGACATTGAACAAACATCCCTCGTTAGGAAATCAAACCCTAAGCTCTATAAATGGGGGAACCATTTTTACACGTCACACCCCGACTTCCTAACCCAGTGGTGTCCAGAGTCGGTCCTCGAGTGCCGGCATCCTGGTTTAACACACCTGGATCAAATGATGTCTCGTTAGAAGGCATTAGGAGAACATTGACATGCTGAGGAGGTTGTTTCCACCACCAGGGAGAACATGCAGGACGCCAGAGGACCGACTTTGGACACTGTCCTAACCATTGCTGACTTGTGATAACAATATATTAATTCATACTCCCAAAATTGTCACTGCCATGTGATGGACTTCTGATCAGTCCAGTGTGTGCGACCCGGACAAAAAAATGAGGAGGTACAGACATTCGGAGGACGATGGGAAATTGTCCCTGTCACACACTCAAACGTTTAGTTACTTGTCAAAGAAAATTACAGAACTGTCACAAGTAAAAGATTTCACTTGACCTGTGTCTCCTGGCCCGTACAACAATAAATCCTTCAGGCTCCAACAAATCCAGAGCCGCACTCATGTTGGGGCTGCCGTGGAAACGTGTTTGGCTCATTTCAAAGCAATTCTGGGGCGGGTTCACAGTTACCCAGAGATGGAGTCATGCTAACCTTACAGCCGAGGAATTCCCAGTGGAGCAAGAAAATCTAAGTTGCACGTTTATTCTTGATTGCCTTCAGTCATCCATGTGAGAGCAAACCTACAGGGGATTTTTTGTTCATTTTGTACAGGATGACCCCTGACGGAATCTCCAGAGAACACCTGACAGGACCCCATGCCGAGCTGTCTGGTGTACTGCATGATTTGGTGTTAGGGGGAGAAAATAAGGTAATATTTATTTCTGCACAAGTTTCTGGGAAACTTGATGGTCCTAGTTGGACCTGAACAGGGCAGGAACGGTCAATTATCAAAAAAGATATTGAGCATTAACAAGATAACGAATGGCAGTAATTAATATGAGGTAAAGATGGTTTGATGGATTTTGCCTAGAAACCTACAACACTGACCTATCAGTATTGCCAGACTGCTGATGATCTGCAGCAAAGACTTTTTTTTTTGTTTGCTTGTTGTTGGTGGGTTTTTTACTAAAGGGTCATTTTGGCTCCTAATTAAAGAATTAGTGTGATTTAAATCAACTTCACTGAGTAAACTGCCTCATTAGGAAACTTGATGGAAGTCAGATACTGCTTTTAAAGGAGGCTTCATTTGTGCTCTTGTTGCTATTGCAAACAAGAGTCTGATAAAGGTTTTTCAAACTACCCTCCATTAAGAAATTGACATCAATGAAACGACTGAGGCAATAATCATGCAGTGTTTACATCTGGAACTGGTGGCTTACTGTGGAAACACATTTGCCACCTAAGTTTGGATGTAGTGAACTTTCCCATTCACTGCTGGATATGTGCCTTATCAGAGGCATGAAACTAAAAAAAAAGAAGAAAAATTTAAATTCTGAAAAAACATAAGGACATTTTTTAAAATATAATTTTATGATGATATTCTTAATTAAACAAAAATTATTGTAGCCTATCCCTGATATTCCATCGTACAACTCACAGAGGCCATGATTGAAATAAAAGCCAATTTTGGAAATATTTTCTGTCATTTATAATTTCTTTTTTATAAAAGAAAGCAAAAAAAAAAAAAAGACTAAAATCTGGCATGAAAAAAACATCTGAACTTCTCAAGCCATTTTGTCCAGTCCTAAGGTGAACATTTTTTCCGATGAGCTCAGGAAATCCTGGTAAGAGAGAGGAGGGATGTAGGAGGGGGGGGTCCGGATAACCACAATCTTGGAAAAGTGTATGTTGGTCCTCCCCCAAATAAATCATAAAAGCAACCTTTTTATTTAAACTATATAAATAAGAAAAGGCAAAACAAAGAACAAAATAAACCCGCCTTTCATCTCAGAAAAAAAAAGAATGAATTTTTAGGTTCCCCCCACCACTGTTAGAACAATGGTTCAGTCCAATGTGTAGGAGCAGCAGCAGCAAATGACTCGAGCTCAGCTATTCTGAAAACATTAGCTAGTTGTAGCTCTACAGCACAAGAAACAAAACCTTCCAGTAAGTAAATACTTCAACCAAAAGACATGTTACACCTTTTATTTACTTTCACAGAAACACATTAACAATAAAAGTCAGACTGCAGTTCCTTCATTTCTTTACTTCAACTGAATCGTGACAAACTGCCTTGATATGCCTTGGAAATCAAAACTAGCTACATTGCTTTGATTGTCTTTAGCCTTTTTTAGTCAAAGGTAACAAATATCTCAATCATATTTAGTTTTCTAACTCCAATGTTAATTGGAATAGTTTGAAACAGGATGGGGTGGATGAATGGTGTGAGGTGAGCGGCCGACATCTCTGTGTGTGGGAGCCGGGAGCAGAAGAGAAATGGAGCAGAGCGGCTAATGGTAGGTAGAAAAAAGAAAAGTGCCTTTATTTCTTACCATCTTCAATGTCGAGCCTTTAAAATCTGAGTAATTTTATTAGGAAGAGTTGCTCATTAAAACTTGTTTTTATTCAGAGCCTTACATTTTTGAAACTTGTAGCAGAGATTAGATCGGTGACACTAAAACAAATTAGTATCTAAAGAACATAAAAATTTTAGTTTGACTTTTATGGGTCTCAACAGTTTGTTTACATTTTTAGTGCGATCCCAAGTAAAGTGTACACGACCATGAAAATGTACACATGGACCTCGGTATAGCTTAGTACGCCGAACATGTGACATTATGGAAGTTACAAAACAGGAAGACGCATCCATCTTAAAAATGAAGGTCGTAGTTAATATTACATCATGCCCTGTCTGAGGAGTTTTCTTCACCTGTGTAATAAAACACATTAAGCCGGAGAACACAGTGTTCATGGCTCATTATCTGTTATAAGGTTGTTTTTTTCATGCCTGCCATTATTTCCAATTGCCGTTATTCTGGTACGGCTGCACCTTCCAGGTCACCGAAGAAGAAAATCTGAAAACCAACTAATTAATTTAGTCAGAGAAGTTAAATTCAAAATGTAATCAGATTACAGCACATGTTTAGGAAATAACTCAACTCATTGGTAAGCCCACGTCTGACATGTTTATGTATTTCACCCTTTGTCCTGTCCGTTTGATCGCAGGTTTTCTTTTTTATCCGCTCGCCGTCGGCAGCTGTTGCTAGGACACAGCCGTGCTGCCGCAGAGCCTGCGAGTCTCGGTAAATAACACGGTGCGGTCGGCGTCCACAGCCGGCCGCGCGCTGTGCTGTGTCATGTCTCTCTGTCGGCGCTGGTGTGGAGGGTACGGAGAGGAGGGGGGTGTGAACTGTCACATTCACACTCTGCCCACTCAACCAGAGAACACCACCGTCATGGAGACGGAGGGAGGGGTGCGGACCCTCTGCGGGCGCTGGGTGTTGGGATTCAGAGCCACTGGTGTCAGAGCTGCTGGCTTGGATTATTGGACCTTCAGTTTGCTGATGACAGAAACCATGCTGAGATTTTCTCTGTCTGTTCGGCTTTGTTTTTTTTGTTGTTGTTGTTTTTTTAGCAGACTGAAGCTCCACAGGCTCCAGTCGCTCATTTTCTTATTCATGTATCAACACAGAAGAAGAGAGGTTACAACTGTTCATAAAACAAAGCCTTCCTAATCGGTTTAGAGACCCTTAATTTGCTCTAATTAACTTCTCCTAATAAACATTAAAGAAGCCCAATTTTCTTTATTTAATAAAGGTCACAGATTTTTCACACATATTAACCTACAGAGGAACCCGATTACATTAAATCACAAACACAATTCTGTCCAGTCTGTAGTAAAGCAGTACTAAGTGCAGTGTAATATGGCAGTGGCTTTGGTGTTACTAAGCCTGGCGCTTTTTTTGTTGTTGTCTCAATTTGGTAGACAAAGTGTATGATTGCACCTAATCTATTCAACCACTGTAAAAAAAGTGATTTATTGGCAAATTTCAACATTTTTCATGTGTTTGCAAAAACCAACTACATAATAAAATGATGAACAAAAATTTCAAGAAGCTACACTAAACCTCTTGCTATTGTGGCCATCACACACTATTTTCATTGACCATATAAATTACATATCAAAATTAAATTTGCTTAATGGAACTACAGCAATTTCAAAAAATCTCATTTTTTGCTAAACTTTTTTGTGCTAGAACAAGGTGGGTTTTTTTTTTTTTGTCAAAATTGGTTTATTTTCACAAAACTACAGTCAAAACCCTGTTTTCACATCACACAAATTACATCATCAACCATCTGACAATGCTGTCAGATGAAGAATAAGTCAACTGGAAGTAGTTGGTGCTTGGAAACATCACAGCCGAATGATCCAATAGAAGAAAGAGGAAGCTCCGTTGGCAGCAGTCTGTTCTCAGTAACTGCTGCACAAAAGGAATGTGTAAAAGGGAAAAATGACCTCTCTTACGCTCAGATGTCACATGACCTGCCATTGGTTTACAAAGGGGATGTTATCATCACTGGTAAGGCCAGTTTCATATGAAACTGGTCATGTGGTGGTAGCACTCGTATACAGGTTATTTACATAATTTTTATTCTAAAATTTCAACATGAAGGACCTTTAAATCTCATCAGCTGTTCTTAAATAAAATCCTGACTAGTCATTAACTCAGTAGTCCTTAATACACTTTGAGTTAGCATGAGACCCTCCTGTGGGATCTTCATCACTCTGTTTACTAAAAGCTTCATGGTGGGTTTTCTAATCATCCCCAGTGTTATCTGGGCATACACCTCTCCATCATATTAATCATTTTCTCTATAAATCCCCTGAGTAAGAAAAGTCCTGCAGCCCAGTCCACTGATAAAACAGGAAGCGATGTCATCTCATAAAGTTTGACGTTAAACGTGGAATTGAACCGTTCTCCTTTACAGATAAGAAACGGGCAAGACTAAGATCTTTGGAGAGGTTTGTGAAAGTTTTTATTCCCCTGTATTTAGCTCCATAGTTACCTTTAAAGAATTGTGTATAATTCTGTCAGAAACTATTGCATATGTCACTGTATAAATTTGCATCCATAATAAACCAAATCTGGGGAGATATGTAAGGTTACAACGATAAAAAAATGAGTTTCCCATGCATAATTTTGTCATACTATACTATAATATATATCATACTATAATATAAAGTTTATATTCACAATTTTTGTGTTGATCCTGAAAGAAATCAAAAACTAAGAAATACGTTCGATATGACAGTAATGATAATATTGCTGAAAAGAGGCACTCCAAACTTGGAACGGGGCCGTTCATTTCTGTCTGATTTCCCCGTGGAGTCCATATTTAGCTCCAGCCTGGCGCTGTCATGCTACACTGACTGAAATAGTTGAGGGGTTTTTCAAATAGAAACTTGCCGTTTCATGTCACATTTCGGCAGTGGAGGTTTGTTTTTAGGCCCGTCTGACGCTTAATCTGGGTTCCAGTGCTCCTGGGAGATTGCTTCTCGAGGGATTTTGCTTTGATATGCGAGATTTGAGAAAACAAAGAGGGGAAACGAGGGTCTCTCCTAACAGATTTATCTAGTAAAAAATAGCAAGTAATTTATGGTCCTTTCATATATATATCTAAAAAATATACAGTAAACAAAAGTACTTCTCTTATCCAGAGCCATCTATTAAGTAGAGTCCTCTTCAGATGTAGATCATAGAGCATGTCTCGGTTCCTAAGCAACAAAGGGAGTTCCCTTTAAAGATGCGTAGCCAGGTATTTTAAAAAATAAGTATCTTCAAAATGTCAAAAAAAAAAAAAAAAAAAAACATACTCACGGAGGTCAGTTTCAGACAAGTTGTCATCCACATGAACCCGCACAAATCTGCCTCTGCCCACAGGGGGCAGTGTAGCAAGCTGAAAACTATGTCCGCCAGTCAGAATCCTTCAAAATAACCACAACGTCCTGTTAGGAAGTAAACATGGTGACAGGAGGCAAATATATATAAAGTTAATCAGATACAAGACTGTGTGGATTAGGAATCTTGCCAAAGCAGGTACCCGACACATAATTTCATCGCCGATGGCAACAGCCTAAATCACACCAAAGTTTTTATAAATATTTGTTTTAGTTGTATAAAATTTCATGTGTGAACTAGCCCTGAGTCAGTGTAACTCTGTGGTAAGGAGAATGTATCCGTTCTCCATGCTTGATGTATGAGGTTGAAGAAGAGTCAGTGAGTTGAATTCATGTATTCCATTTATTAATACCATAATACAGCTGGTCCATAGTTCATGCTATCCTTAATGGCTAGCAGAACAAAATGGCACCCAAGAACACTTTGTGATCTCCTTTGTTAGCCTCTATCTAAGACACGCCCTAAAGAGGGCGTTCCCTAGTGTGTCATCTCCTTTAATCTTAGCTTTGAAGGCATTTCCTAACATTTCATTTCCTTTAGCTTTAGTTGTGCAACTAGCTAAGAGATAGAAGGAAAACACAGAATTTTCTATTCTCAACAGTGGTTAGCAGTAATGTCTTTACACTGGCACATTCAGTCTCCATGGTAACCAACAGTTGCACTGGCTGATGATTGGAGATATTCAGTTTGCAAGCTAGCTATCTATGTCCAGATGGATTAATAGATGTTATGGAGACAGTCAAAAACCCCAAGTTGTACACGTGGATGTAGAACTGTTGATTACAGAAGTGATTCTCTTCTGAGAAAGTGATGATGGAAAATGTAAAGGTGACTTCTGAAACACAACATTGTTCATTGTTGATACAACTGGTGAGGCTGGCCGCGGTACAGTTGAGAGACTAACGTCTTAAACAATCTGAAATGTTCTTTTTATTTTGATTTGGATGTACTTTTAGGTTGGTGGTTTTTCATCACAGTTTTTCAAAAAAGGGCAAAGAAAGGAGAAAAGAAACAATGTAACTTTCAAGCCGGTGGAAAAATCTCAGACTATTGTTTTCTTAAGTTACTCATCTTTAGATATGGAAGCCTTTAACTGCCAGAGTCAGGAAGTAAAGTCAGGAGCAATATTTCAGCGAGACACAAAACTCGCTAAAATAAGAACATTTATAACGAGTTTTATATCTCGCCATAATGAGATATACGGTCTTATTGAAATTTATATTTCAATAAGACCAAAATATCTATTAAGGTCATAACAGTAAAACAGCAACACATTGTGGGATGTTTGAGTGTCGTCTCAGAAGATGGAGTCAGAGTATAAAGTTTCTCCTATTTTTTTAAAGAGCCGGATCGCATTTTTATATTGCTTTATAATGAGAAACGTTCTCGTTTTAACGAGATATCGCTCCTCAGTGCTTTAAGGGGAATAAAAAGTAGTCCCCTTAGTGCCGTACAAGTATGGAACAGAAACACGGGCAATATTTTTATATACTGTAGATCTGTCTATTGATCTCTAGGTCATAAGTTTTATTATTGTTCAGAAATGACAAAGAACAAAGATGGTTGTAAATAAAATCCACAGGAGTCAAATTCAAGGCATGATGAAGCCACTTTTACTAAGTCTCAAGCCTCAGGATGTTTTTTATAAAGGTTTTATTGGCTCTAGTGGCCTTTATTTGATAGTTAGTTGACAGGAAAGTGGGTAATGAGAGAGGGGGAAGACATGCAGTAAAGGCCACCAGGCTGGGAATTGAACCTGCAACAGCCACATCAAGGACTGAGGCCTCCATTTGTGGGTTGTGCTTAACCCCTGCACCACCTCACACCAAGCCTCATGGTGTGAATATGGATATGAAAAATAACTTTAAAAAGTAAAGATATAAAATCTTAAAAATAACTATGTCCCTTTCAGACTTAAGCTTTTAATAAGCTTAGTTTCCTTTTGTGAATTTTTCATTTTTTGCCAGGTTACACACTTCATTTTATTTTATGGGATTCATAAAAAAGTAGCACATAAATGTGAAGTGGAAGAAAACTTACAAATGTTTATTTGTGTGTGTTTTTGTCATTTTTACAATTCAAATTCTACTTTTTTTTAACTTAACCATGAGTAAAATTCAGCACAGTCTATTCTGTTTTAAAATTTCCTAATTAGTAAATAATCTCATCATATCAAGGTTTTAGCAGGGGTGGCCACATTTTTGCTAATCTGCTTCTGCATAAATAGCGGAGCTAAGTTATTGTTTAGCACTTTTGCCAACTTTGAAAACATTTAGCACATTTAGCTTCCCTAAGTTGATTTTCTTTTGGATAAATTCCAAAGCGCTAATTTACTTAGCTGTTCTGTAAACTTTCAGTTGAATAAAGTTCCATATCTGTATAGAGGTTTTGGTTATCGACTGTCAAGAATTTCGTAAGCATACGTTTACAGTGGTTGCTCTTATTTTGAAGAGGTGAAGCCTGTTTACACAGCAGTTTTGTTTGTTTTCCTCATGTTCACTCTCATAATAATAATAGAACATGTAAGTTAAAATTAAATTAGTACTTGAGGGTTGTAGACTTCTAAGGTTAGATATAATCTGATTTGAAGCACTAGCTCATGTATACCATATTAGCATAGCACTTTAGCATAGCTAATGTTTATGATTAGTCCTTTAGGTTAGCACAACTAACTTATTAGCTAACAGTGCCCAACACCGGATATTAGCTTTAGTGACCAAGCAGAATCCTAAAGAGGACCAAATCAAATAACATAAAGCTATCTTATAAAACTAAATCCAAAATTTTTAACACCTTACAAACTTCATCCCATCATCTGACAATGGAAAAACTTTTGG